TTGCCGCTGCCTGCTACTGCCTCTGCTGGTGTCTGCTGCTGTCTGCTGCTGCCTGCTGCTGCCTGGTGCTGCCTGCTGCTACCTGCTGCTGCCTGCTGCTGCCTGCCTGCTGCTCCTTGCTGCTGCCTGCTGCTGGTGCTGCTGCTGGTAGCTGCTGCTGCTGCTGTGGTGCTGCTGCAATCAAACAGCCTCCAAAGCAAGAAACAAACAGCCAGACACCCTTTTCGAAACATATCCGAAACAGCAAAAACACCACCTAATGTCGTGCCCAAAACGTAGCAAAGGAACCCCAAAAAAGGGCCTAACGTCACTTCTGAAACCCTACTATAAAATTGCAACTTTGCCGCTGCCTGCCGCTGCCTGCCGCTGCCTGCTGCTGCTTGCTGCTGCCTGCTGCTGCCTCTGCTGGTGTGTGCTGGTGTCTGCTGCTGCCTGCTGCTGCCTCTGCTGGTGTCTGCTGCTGCCTGCTGCTGCCTGCTGCTGCCTGCAGCTGCCTGCGGCTGCCTGCGGCTGCCTGCCTGCTGCTCCCTGCTGCTGCCTGCTGCTGGTGCTGCTGCTGGCTGCTGCTGGCTGCTGCTGCCTGCTGCTGCTGTGGTGCTGCTGTGGTGCTGCTGCAATCAAACAGCCCTCAAAACGTAGCAAAGGAACCCCAAAAAAGGGCGTCACTTCTGAAACCCTACTTAAAATTGCAGCTTTGCCGCTGCCTGCCGCTGCCTGCTGCTGCCTGCTGCTGCCTCTGCTGGTGTCTGCTGCTGCCTGCTGCTGCCTGCCTGCTGCTCCTTGCTGCTGCCTGCTGCTGGTGCTGCTGCTGGTGGCTGCTGCTGCTGCCGTGGTGCTGCTGCAATCAAACAGCCTCCAAAGCAAGAAACAAACAGCCAGACACCCTTTTCGAAACACATCCGAAACAGCAAAACACCATCTAATTTCGTGCCCAAAACGTAGGAAAGGAACCCCAAAAAAGGGCCTAACGTCACTTCTGAAACCCTACTATATAAAATTGTAACTTTGCCGCTGCCTGCCGCTGCCTGCCGCTGCCTGCTGCTGCTTGCTGCTGCCTGCTGCTGCCTCTGCTGGTGTCTGCTGCTGCCTGCTGCTGCTGCTGACGCTGCTGACTGCTGCTGGCCTGCTGCTGCTGATGCTGCGATGCTGCTTACCTGATGCTGCCGCTGACTGCATGCCTGCTGCTCCTTGCTGCTGGCCTGCTTGCTGGTGATGCTGCTGGTGGAGCTGCTGCCTGGCTGTTTTGGTGCTGCTGCAACCAACAACAGCCTCCAAAGAAAGAAACAAAGCCAGACACCCTTTTGAAACACATCCGAAAACAGCAAAAACACTACCTAATTTCTGCCCAAAACGTAGCAAAGGAAACCCAAAAAAGGCCTAACGTCACTTCTTGAAACCTTACTATAAAATGGCAACTTTGCCAGCTGCCTTGCCGCGCTGCCGCTGCGGCTGCTGCGTGTGCTGCTGCTGCTGCCTCTGATGGTGTCTCTGTGCCGCTGCCTGCATGCTGGACGCTGCTGGTGTTATGCTGCTGCATGATGCGCCTGCTACTGCCTCTGCTGGTGCCTCTGCTGGTGTCTGCTGCTGCCTGCTGCTGCCTGCTGCTGCCTGCTGCTGCCTGGTGCTGCCTGCTGCTACCTGCTGCTGCCTGCTGCTGCCGGTGCTGCTGCAATCAAACAGCCTCGAAAGCAAGAAACAAACAGCCAGACACCCTTTTCGAAACACATCCGAAACAGCATAACACCACCTAATTTCGTGCCCAAAACGTAGCAAAGGAACCCCAAAAAAGGGCCTAACGTCACTTCTGAAACCCTACTATAAAATTGTAACTTTGCCGCTGCCTGCCGCTGCCTGCTGCTGCTTGCTGCTGCCTGCTGCTGCCTCTGCTGGTGTCTGCTGTGCCGCTGCCTGCTGCTGCCTCTGCTGGTGTCTGGTGCTGCCTGCTGCTGCCTGCTGCTGCCTGATGTGCTGCTGATGTCCTTGCTGCTGCTGCTGTGGTGCTGCTGCAATCAAACAGCCTCCAAAGCAAGAAACAAACAGCCAGACACCCTTTTCGAAACACATCCGAAACAGCAAAACACCACCTAATTTCGTGTCCAAAACGTAGCAAAGGAATCCCAAAAAAGGGCCTAACGTCACTTCTGAAACCATACTGTAAAATTGCAACTTTGCCGCTGCCTGCCGCTGCCTGCTGCTG